TCCTGGTAAAACACCTACATTTTACTGTGCAGCATGGTTTTTCATGTTTAATTATGAAAACGCAACTTAGCAGTTTCGTTCAGCCAGTTCAGGAGAAAATGTTGTTGCTGATTAATCTGACCGAAAGAGACCACTGCTGCTACTCCTAACATGCTATCCATTCCAAATTTTGCGTCTTAATTTCCACACAACCCTCTAACAAAAGTTTTGTATGTGTGGAAACTTGAAACTCACTTTTCCCCTGCCGGAAGCACTAAGGAAACTTTTACATGTCGGCTTTCTTTGCCCCTCTGGTGTGACCCGACTTCTCAATCAAGCGAATTAAATATCCCTGGGAACAATACTTTCCTGCACTTCTCGACATTCACGTAGAGTGAAAATGTCGATAATATATTGTGCCGGGAAAGTTTCCAGGTACTGCCATTTCTCACCAAGTAAATACTCGCCAGAGGCAAAATTACTCTTTGATGCATTTATTATGCTCTGTTTGTCGCCGAATAAACTACCGAAGGGCTGCTTTGGATTGTAGTCTTCATGCTCGCTGCTGAAAAAAGAGCAAAAAAACTCATCAAAAGGCAAAAATACTTGCTGCTCTCAAAACTCAACCGTTTTCTTGCTCCCGTTTGTGTGTTCAGTTAATAATATGGAAAACTTTATGGATTTCTTGTTTGATTGATAGGCCCAGTTTCCGCTGGAAGTTTTCTAAATTAGGAAACTCCTTCAATAGCGGATTTAAACCCTAATAAACTGGGCGATTGTTGAATTTTGCATTGGAACAGCGGGTTGCAATTTTCACTCTGCCTTTTGAAGAAAAATCGCAACATTTTGCGTGCAAAAGATGGTCGTTGAAACAGTCATTTAGTTTGGGTTTTTTTAACTAATTTTCCTTGTAATTTCGTCCCTAAAATATGAATTAACTGCACAAACGTTTCATCAGTAAACAACATGAAATTTATCGATTGAACCTGATCGCAACCCCTGCAGTAATTTTGCTTTTATGTTTTCTTCCTTATTTTATGTGCCCTTATATTTTAGCACTGGAAATTTCATCATGTTATTATTTCCCATTTAGTTTAATTACATTTCGCCTCCGTCTCGTCGTCTCTGCTGATTGACTCTCGAAGCCTAAGGCGTAACGCGACCTCTTTTCTTTAGGAAAATATGATATTTCCAGATGCCGGGGCATAATTTAATAGATACGCTGGTGTCCGGGGTTAATGAGGGACGATGGGAAGGAAAAAATGCCACAATTTATCATGTTTAGGATTTTCGTCGTCCGGTAGAATTTCTTCTTGACGTTTCGCAAGCACGAGTGGCTTGCATCTTCAGAAGTGGTTTGCTTGAACGCTTACACTGTTCTCATCAGAACCCG